ATAATTTGATTAACTTGGTTCTGTAAGTTATCTCGTTCTTGGGTAATCTGATTGACTTGGTCCTGAAAATTATTTTGGGTAAGCTGATTAACTTGATTTTGCAAAACGATATTCCGTTGTCTATAGTAATTGACATCCTGCTGTAGCTGGACTATCTGATTATTGCTATCATCCCGTTGAGCTATAACACCATCTATATCCTGGTATGCAGATTGATAATTAAGACGGACAGTATTTAAGGAACCTCTAATGCCTTCTATAATATTGATAGGATTATTTAACGGTGTTCCAGCACCTCTAAGGTGATTTTCAATACGAGTCAAGCCTCGTTCGATTTGTATAAAAAGGTCAAGATTCGCCATATCTATATCTTCCTCTTCTGAATTATATAAAATTGGAGAGCTTCTTCGAGAAGAAATAACTTTGAATCTATGCCTTAGATTTTGAACCCGCTCTTCCGATTCTTGTAATTGTTTCTCTATATTATCGATATAAGATATCTTATCTCGGACCTCCTTTTTAGCTTGATATAAGCTTTTTTTAAGTGATGATATTTCCGATCTCAACTCCGCCTTTTCTTCCTCTGAAGCATTCTCGAGACGTTCCAGTTCTTCTTTAAGAGATTGGATTTCTTTCTCACATCTGGTATATTTACGTTCCAGAACCTTTATATATTTCTCATTCGATTTGTTTATTAAAACTTCGTCAGATAACTCGTCCCTCAAAGCTTGATTTACTCGCTCCAATTCCAATTCCCGATCAGAGCCTGGCCCATGAGATATTCTATTAGGACGTGGTCGACGAAATGTCATAGCTATTTTTATTATAGCGAAATATATTGGTACAAAGTAAAGGCATAGCCAAGATGAGTATACCTACTATATATATAGATCCATATGCTGAGGTAGCTATAGTTTGCCATGCACTCTATTATAATATTCCCGGGTTTTATCCGAATGTGAAAGCTCTACAAAAGGCATGCAAAAAAGAAGGGTATAGCCATTTTCGACTCAAAGATATAACAAAGTGGTTAGAAAAACAGTATGATTACCAAATATATCGTCATCCACCAAAGATTAAGGCTCAGGCTAGCTTTTCTAAATGCCGAATTCCTAATAAATTACACCAATGTGATCTATTACCTCATGTTTATGATGATCAGAAAAGGGGGAAAGTGTATTTATATACCTTGGTGCTGATAGACGTGGCGACAAGATTTAAATGTGCGGTAGCGTTGATGTCAAAGAATAGTTTGGAAGTTTGGAACGCGATCGAAAAAATATACAATGATTCCAAAAATCCTCTCGCATGGCCGGCATTGTTGATGGTAGATGGTGCAGGGGAGTTCAAAGGAGCATTCTCTCGAGGGATGGAAAGTTATAATGTTCCTATAAGAATTGTTGATCTTTACAGTTTCGAAAGTTTAGCATTGGTTAAAAAATTCAAGCAGGATTTGGCAAGATATATATATAAAATTCAATATGCTATAGAGGGCAAACTCAGAGGAGGTGAACGTTCTAAATTATGGAATAAGATACTTCAGAAAATTATCAACTATATGAATAATAATAAAACGCGATTAATAGGCATGTCTCCATCATATGCGATGACATTGCGGGAAGTGATTCCCAAAGTAACTATCAAACCTAAAAGACCTATTGGGAAAGATGAACCACGATTACAAAAAGGAACAACTGTAAGATATTTATTAAAACCAGGTGAGTTAGAAGGAGGACACATGCATAGAAAAACTGACCCGTACTTCTCATTGCGTTTATATAAGATCGAGAAAGTCATTGTAGGCAAGAATCCACCACAGCCAGTCTTATATTATCTTGAGAATGAGCCCATTGAATCTACTGCTCATTTGATGGGACGTAACCCACATCGACCATTCAAGCGAGAAGAACTCCAAGTAATAGAAAA